CCACCGACACCACAACAGCGGCCGTCGTCTATAGGGGGATGTGGTTGGGGGAGGTTGAGATAGGGATGGAGTGGGGAGCAAAGATTGTAATTGGAAAAGGAAGAGCGGAGAGGTGTGTACCTCAAGGGACGGTGCAGGACTGGGCAAGGGCGGCAGCCAGGCAAATAGCTGTGCAAGGCGAGCCTCGTGGGCAGCGAAGACGGGCTCCAGCCTGTTGGCATGCCCACGTCGACGTCCAGCATCGAAGGCCGTCTCCCCTCTCTGAGAACATATTCAGGGGAGGGACGAGGTGTGGTAAGAGTTGAGCGATGTGCAAGGGATTTTTTCAAATAAAGCCAGTGCAACGATGCGCATGATTAAGCAGAAGACGTTTAACGAGTAAGCGGGGAACAGATGAGGCAAGCGGTGGCAGGGTATCTCAACAGAAGGGTTGATTAACAAATAATTAACAAAACTCGTGTTTGGAAAAATAACGTCAAATGTGCAAAGGCAAGATGCAAGAAATGACGACCAACATGCGTTTGAGCGCGCGAGGAAAGCAGAGACACCATGATGATGGCAAGGGATTGGTTGACGTCCAGATCAACATGTCAGAGGGAGGGGCTGCACTGACCTCGTCCTTGGCTTCAGCATCAACGCCGTGCTCCAACAGTGTCTCCACCACCTTGACATGGCCGTTATAGCAGGCATAGTGCAGTGGTGCTCGGCCGCCCTGGTACAGCATCATCAGCATATGTTAGAGGTGTACCAGCAGAGGGAGGTTAATGGGAAAGAGGGAAGTATTGACCTTGTTCTGCGCTTTTGCATCGACACCATGCTCCAACAGCATCAACACTACCATGACACGACCGGTATGGCAGGCATAGTGCAGTGGTGTCCGGCCATACTATGGGATGATGCCTCAGCATTAGATACAGCGTTATCATATGTTGTAGGTGTACCATCATAAGACGGAAGAGCAAGTGGGAGGTACTGACGTCGTCCATGGCTTTTGCATCAGCGCCATGCTCCACCAGCATCTCCAACACCTTGACATAGACTTGATCGCAGGCATAATGGACTGCAGTCCGGCCATACTGTAGGAGATGATGCATCGGCATTGTTGACAGGTGTTACAGGTGTACCATTTCCAGAAGGTCCGGAAAGATGGAATTACTCACATCGTCCCTGGCTTTGGCATCAACACCGTGCTTCAACAGCATCTCCACCACCTTGACATGGCCCTTCTCGCAGGCATAGTGCAGTGGAGCTCGGCCATACTGTGGGATGATGCATCAGCATCACGCACAGGTACAAACACATCATGCTACAGGGGGGGGGGGGGGGGAGCAAAGCGGGAAGAGGAGGGCTCTAACGTCGTCCTTGGCTTTTGTATTCACACCGTGCTTCAACAACATCTCCGCCACTTTGACATGACCTCTAACACAGGCATTGTGTAGCGGTGTCCATCCTTTCTGCGGATGATGCATTGACATGAAGTACAGGAACAGACAACTAGCATCACGTGTTGCAGGTGTACCATCATATCAGCGTAAAGGGGAGAGAAGAGGAGGTACTGACGTTGGTCTGGGCTTCGGCATCAACGCCGTGCTTCAACAGCACCTCCACTACCTTTACATGGCTCCGAAGGCAGGCACAGTGCAGTGCTGTCCAGCCATCCTGTGCCAACGAAAAGCAAGCAGACAAACCCAAAAGCACAAAACCGCTCAGATGACAGCTTCAAAGCCATAATCACAGAACAAA